AACAGTGAAGCATCCTGAGACCATCCATGTGTGGGGTTGCTTTTCAACCGAGGGAGTGGGCTGTCTCATAATTCTGCCCCAAAACACTGCCATGAATAAAGAATGGCATCAAAACGTCCTGCAAGAGCGACTTCTTCCTACGGTCCATGAGCAATTTGGTGATGATTGAAGAACCGTGCATTTTCCAGCTCATGTCACAAAGCAAGAGTGATAAAGAAGTGACTCGAAGATCATTACATTGAAATTTTGGATCCGTGGCCAGGCAACTCCCCAGATCTCAATCCCATAGAGAACCTGTGGTCAGTCCTCAAAAGGCGAGTGGACAAGCAGAAGCCCACAAATTGTGATCAACTCAGAGAACTAATAAGGCAAGAATAGATCGCCATCATTCTAATATCCAGCATGCCAGAGTGAATTGCAGAGGTTGTGAAGAACAAGGTTCAACACTGTAAATATTGACTCATTATATATTTTTTGCCAATAAAAGCCTTTAAAACGTATGATATGCTTATCATTGTTTTTCAGTATACCATAGAAACATGTGGAAAAATAATCTACAAATACTGAAGCAGCAAACTTTGCAAAACACAAAATTTATGTCAAACTGCCAAAACTTTTAGCCATGACTGTATTCATAAATAATGTTATTATTGTTATTATTATTTTTTTTACTTTTCTCAAATAATATGCAAGGCACTAGTCATAATACCACATCAGGTTTATTTGCAATAATGATTGGCATATACATTATACGGTTTGTAACAAAAACTGCTTAGCAAATGCATCATAAATTATTACAAGTCATATGCGACCTGAAACTTGCACAGTGTAGTAGGAGCTGCCAGAAACAGAGGTCAAATATACAGTATTTGGCAACAGAATGACATTATTGACCAATCAGAATGAAGTTTTCTGATAAGCAAAGAATTAATACAAAATAAAATAGCTATATATTACAAAGCTGTGTCTGCTTTCCCTCAGCAACAGCTAGCAGCAGCCATCATTGTCTCCTCTCCACCAGTAAGCTGGTGTGTGGTGGGCGTTCTGGCGCACTATGGCTGCCGTCGCATCATCCAGGTGGATGCTGCACACTGGTGGTGGATGAGGATACCCCCTGACAATGTAAAGAGCTTTGAGTGTCTAGAAAAGCGCTATATAAATGTAATGAATTAATCTAAAACACCCTAGCAATACCAATAACATTATGCTAAAATTGCTACAAATGATGTTGAAATTACATAGCAATGCCCTTGCAACCATCTACAGCACCTCTGCATTGTGGCGGCATGTGTTGCATATTCAAGCACCACTCAGGTTTTGTTCAGAAGAATGTAAAATATGATTGAGTACATTTTAGTTGTTTGTGTAAATGTCAGACTCCAGTTTTAGATACTGAATCATTGTTTTGTCTTTCCTCCAATGCGAAGTAGAACCACACCTCACAATAAGATTTGGATGTGTTGTTCTCTGCTGTACTAGGATGTGTCTTCAGGTCATAGTGCAGATACGCACACGTCAGGACCAGATTTTACTCTGATGTTTTAGCGGAGTTTGATGTTTGTGTCATGACTATTGCTTAAGACTTCGGTTGTTTGAAATGTTCTTTAAACAAGTTTTCAACATGGAAAATACCGTTTGACAGTGTTTCTCACAGGATGTTTTTGAGAGTGGATACTTACTATCGTGTGTCTCTGTTCTGTTGTGGGGTTCAGAATCGGGACACGGCAGTTACGTTTAATGTTAATGTCAAGCAGTGATGAACGGTGAGGGAAATATGAACTAACGCGAAGTAGAACCACACCTCACGACAAGATTTGGATGTGTTGTTCTCTGCTGTACTAGGATGTGTCTTCAGGTCATAGTGCAGATACGCACACGTCAGGACCAGATTACTCTGATGTTTTAGCGGAGTTTGATGTTTGTGTCATGACTATTGCTTAAGACTTCGGTTGTTTGAAATGTTCTTTAAACAAGTTTTCAACATGGAAAATACCGTTTGACAGTGTTTCTCACAGGATGTTTTTGAGAGTGGATACTTACTATCGTGTGTCTCTGTTCTGTTGTGGGGTTCAGAATCGGGACACGGCAGTTACGTTTAATGTTAATGTCAAGCAGTGATGAACGGTGAGGGAAATATGAACTAATTAGAGTAAAATGTTGTGGAATGTGAGGATTTCTCAAGTGCTGATTGGCTGAAACCTGCCAGCTCAGAGATTGATAGCTTCTCTATGCCGGTAAACAGTGACAGCGCAACATCAAAGCTACTGTTTTGCCCTATGCATCTCTGCATAGTGGACTTCACAGGGTATTCAGTAAGATTCAAATTATATAGAGTGTGTACATGATAATACACAAAGCTTGGGTAACAAACATGAAAAGGAGTCGAGAAACCAGCATTTTATTCGGATTAATTCAACCTCAAGTGATTGCTAGGCTGTTGTGTGCAAATATAAAATACACAAGATGTAAGCCAATTGTCATTATCATGTCTATGGATTACAAACCGTTAAAGGGATAGTTCACCCAAAACTGAACATTATGTCATCATTTACTCACCCTCATGTCGTTTCAAATAACTTTGCTTTCTCTGTGGAAAACAAAAGAAGCTATTTCAAAACTAAATGGCGTCCGAACAGCATTGGACCCCTTTGACTTTCATTGGATGGAAAAGATACTGAAAACTATTTTTCAAATAGTTTTCAGTATCTTAATTTATGTTCCAGTAGATAAAAAAGTCATACAGGTTTGGAATAACGCAATAAATGATGACAGAAGATAGATACATAGGTAAATGACATTTATTTTCATTTTAATTTAAGTGATCTGAATTGGTCACACTTTATTTTAAGGTTCAGTTCTCGCTATTAACAAACCATTAACTATGCCTTTTGCCTCAGTAAACTCCTAATTTGCTTCTTATTAATAGTTAGTAAGGTAGTTGTTAAGTTTAGGTATTGGGTAAGGTGTAGAGTAATGTAGAATATGGTCATGCAGAATATGTGCTTTATAAATACTAATAAACAGCCAATATGTTAATAATAGGCATGCTAATAAGCAACTAGTTAATAGTGAGAGTTGGTCCCTTTACTAAAGTGTTACCTATCTTTTTAGATAAATATGCTTAGGTTTATTATAGTCATGTTATATTTATAAATGTGTATATGAAGGTATATTCCTAATATTCCATAATCTGAATAACCTTGATCTCTTTGGCAGATTAAGTGTTTGATGGCATTGCAGAGTATTACACTGGGAATCAGAGACCCTGCGAACCAAACAGCTTGTATCTTTCTGCACGGTCCACATAAACCCATGAGAGGTGCTTAGTGTGTTTAGTGTAGCTCAAGCCCATGTTTGGACTTTTAAAGCTATGATTTTATCTAGATGCAGGTTGACTGTCAGCACTACTGTTTTCAAAGAAAAAAGCGACGCGTCTGTGTCAAATAAATATATGATTGTATCAATGAGAAGATGTTCTTTTTATTTTTTAAGCCGTTTACGCAAAAGTGATGATTTACTCACCCTCATTGGACTCCACTGACTATCGCTGTATACACAAAAAACAGTGAGACGTTTTCCAAAATATCTTTTGCGTTTCACAGAACAAAATTCATACAGGTTTGGAACGGAATGAGGTTGAGTAAATGATGACAGAATTTTCATTTTTGGGTGAACTATCCCTGAAATGTCATTTTACATTAGGATTCAATATTTCTACTAAACACACATTTGCACATCTTGGCAAACAATTTCCCAAACAGTCAAAATGTATTTTCTCAAATTTGAACAGCCCATTTCCAAGAGCAATATCTTTATGAAGTTGTCTGTCATCTGATCAGTCATTTACTCCAAAAATGGGACAATCCAGCAATGCGTTCGTCCAGTACATATCTGGCCTGTTTTGTCTATCTGTAATAAAATACTGTCAATGGTCTTTCCAAACTCACATTATGATAAACTGTAAAGATCTCCAACGTCCCCTGACCCAGTATATACTCCCTGTTCCAGATATTATCAAAAACACAGGCAGTAATGTATTCCCCAGATAAGCAAATGAAGAATGATATCTAGTACTTACTTCATTTTTCTAACTGAGTATTTGATAATGTCTTAACTCCACATCTGTGTTAAGATATGGAGCCTTAAGATTTGCTGTTAAAGGCCCGGTCGCTTTGACCTCTTAGAAACTATTCCATTAAAATGTGCTGCATTCTCTAGTTTTAGTTGTCTGCCAGGGGTATTTGTGTTCATAAGGACTGATTCTGTCACATTACAATGTTTACACTAGTAAACGCTAATTGATGAAACTCTCTTGGCCCTGTGCATACAATGCTTTCTTTGTCATCAAAAAATAATGGGCCAGGAAAGATGGTTTTGGACGCCAAAAAGACCAGAAGGAATGCATGAGGAGTAATTGTGCCAGTTAGGAAACCTGGAATTGTGATCACGTTTAACAATTTTATTTTATGTTCAGGATTGTCCTGATATGCCCCATACTATCATTCATGTTGTTTTGAAAATGTAATAAATAAATAAATAAACAGTGCTGAAATTGCACATTTCAGTTAATGCTCTGTCTTTTTTTATCTATAAATTTTAGGATCTGGTGAAGGATGTGGCAAGATCATTCAGCGCTTCCCCAAAAAGGACTGGGATGGCACGGCATTTCCCCAGGGTGTGGAGATGGTAAGGAGTCGTTTTTGTTCTGTTTTCTGAAAACTGAAACCCAAAAGTAGACCCAAGTCATTTATTCATAAACAGCTGCCTTCTGTAAGTAGCTGAATGAAAAAAAAACCTGTGTATTGTACGTCTTTGTTTTTCCCAGTTGTTCTCTGTGATGGATTTTCAGTTTTTGCCATTGGTCAGTTGTGCCCACTTGAGGCATTGTGGCATTGCTGGAGAATATGAATTAGTTTTTTTTACTCTTCTGCTTTCCTCAAAGTTCCTGAAATCTGTGAATACATCTGCCCACATCCTCGGAAACTCATGTGGTTTTGATATCAGCCTTTCCTTTTGTCAACAAATGCATAATCATTGTTTACTTAAAGGTTTATCCCAGTCGCCTCCATTTGCTCTAATTGGAGAATTCCAAGCCCATGTCCTGTCCATTTCTTAAATGGCGTGCAGAAATGCTTTGCTGTGCTTCTGTCCGATCTATCGCGCTACACACTCTGGCCCAATTAACAGACACAAACCAACTTAACTCTGGACCAAATATTTGCTTATCTGAGCTGAAGAAGAACATGTTGTTCATCTCCTTAGTGGCAGTGGCTTTAAAGTTGTCCTGGTTCTTGAGTTAAGAAGCTACAAATGTTGAGCTTAAGCTGTTGGGTTGTGGCCTGGTTGACTGTTTGTTTACTTGTTTATCAAGACGTAATGCGTAAAGCTTGACCTTTGCATGAAATCGTAGGACTAAAGATTCAACTGTAATATAAAATACACATCTTCTGATGAGCTTGCTTTCAATTTCTGAATAAAGATTCATTTTGATATTTTCAAATTTTGAGACACTGATGTCTCAAAAAGGTGATGTAGCCGTCCTCATAATGAAGAAGAGCAATTCGATTTTTGAAGAGAAAAACATAAGTAGTGTGACAAAATCTTTCATTATTATTTTAAACAAAAAAGTCATATGTTGCAACCAATGAATAATGTGATAGAATACAGAGAACCTCTGAAGAATCTCAAGACTGTGTGTCAAGTTCAGCAAGTCTCTTAAAATATCAGATAGTTTGTCCTTTTCATGGCATGGTTGTAAAATGTCATGCGGCACTACTTCCCAGAATGATATGATTTATAATTCATTATTCTTTCAAAAACATTTTGAATAAGATGTGGACACTCACATGCGTTCAAGGTGCAGGGAAAATATGTTATTACATTTTAATCGACGGTTACACGACGTGACATTTTTTTAGTCATTAAAACCCTTTATGAGCCATCATGAATACAAAGAGGACATTTCTGAGAACTTGGCACATGCGTTTTGGCACGTCGTAGACACTCTTATTGTCATTGAGCCAAACACAGACTGTTCTCCCTCTGCTTTCTTGTTTTATTAGTCATTTAAGTGTAAGTGAACCAAAGAAATATTCTTGGTTACACAATATCCTTGGATAACGAAAAAGTCTGTATCAGATCAATGAAGGACATTGGCTATTCTAATGTGAGAAGAGGCTCATTGTTCACGGCGAGGACTGATTTTGAGTCAGTCCTTTACTCATTTTGGCTGTTTACACTCATCTGCTGAGATATGGCCGCGAGCACCATCTCCCACTGATTCTGAATCTGCAGAGACTGTAATCTAGACAGTCATCTAGAAATCGGCTAACCAAACGCAGGTTCACTATTTTCCAGCAGGTGGTTGAGTCTCTGGTCAGCCAACAGGTTACACAATCTGGGTCAGTCCCGGGCTCAGATGTTGTTTTTATCATTATGAATTCTTACTGATTTATGTTTGTGATTCTAAGCGGACATGATCTTTTCCCCACTCCAGGAATGATGGTTGTTTCGTCTGTCAGAGACAGTAGATTTGGATTGTACTCCATTTCCGTGGTTTGAGCAGTCACATTATTTGGTGTAATACAATGAAGGTCCTTTTCCTCAAGAACTGCATGTATATCTGAAGGCTTATATTGAGAAGCACTGGAAACATTCCATAGGGGTTTTATTCAATACAGACTCAATGGCTTAATACAGTTCCTGCAAGTATAGGGAATGTCCTTCAGCAGTCGTAAAGTGTTTATTTTGAGTATCAGTGTTCTTTGTGTCAACTGGGGCAGCTTGTCATTCACAGGATGTTTCTGTTTATTTGATGCACCATTTTTTTTGTAGAGATTGTTGTAGATGTTGAAACCACCAAGTCTGGCACCAGTGATCATGGTCAAAGGGTCATTACATTTCAAATTGAAATCACAAACCAAAATTTGCTTTTAAAAGTCACATTGTCCCTCATTAGTTACATTTACGTTCCTGGTTTATCAGTTTATCTCATTGCTAGAATCTAACAGGGATATTGGTTGGTTCTTTGGTCAACTATAGGATGGATTGTAGGGCTTGGTTGGCAATATTGATTAAACATTTTGATTAACCAAAATCCCAAGATTGATCTTTCAGTCTGTGCTGTTTTCAGCTCATGTGTGTTTAAATTTATACAGTACTAAACTCCAGTTTACATTTTGCCGGTGTTTTCAGCTCATTAGCACATTATTTAGAGAGAGCATGTGTGCATGGTTGCCAGGTTGGGAAGATTAAGCAAAACCACTTTGCAGAAAATGTATCGATTTAAGAGAATGATCGATTTGCAGACATGATGTCTGGATTGCGTTTACATTACACTGAGATCCGATCACAATACGTCCTCGACTACCTCTAGACCAGGACACGCTGATCGGATAACATTCCGATCAGAAGCGCGTTTACACTTGTCTTTTCAATGTATATGTGGACAACATCTGGATGCAGGTCGCATGTTAATGCCAAGTGTAAACGCAGCCTAAGTGAACTAGATGTGAATAGCCAGGTTTGAGTACCAATTTCAATTAGTTAAGCAGTACTATTATTGTTATACATATTAAACATATTTTGAACATCTTTAGCTCTTGCACATGTTGTTATTTTTATAGTTTGCATTGTAGTGAATTATTCACATTAAAAGGTTATTAGTGGTTTTATGTAAGATTAATTACGGTGCTGTTTTTCCATCTCGTGTGTTGTTTTTGAGTAAGCGCTCTAGAACAACATTCATCAAACACATTCACATCTCTTTGAACACTGCGGGGACAGCATAGTCCATAGGGTGGGCGATTTATCGTATAAAAATAGACCAGAGCTGTATGTATGTCATTTCTTGTTAGTCATTGGGTGTGCCAGTACTCCCAGCGGGCTGCAGAATCGAACCAGAAGAGTGTTTTGCTGGGATTCAGGAAACATGCCTTGACTTAATCTACACAGCATCATCTCTGAAGCATTCAGCAACATGTGGAGGACCCCCTCAGCATAGTTTTTGCCCTGTCAGTTTACTCAAACATATCAGTATGTGCACATGTTTCTACTGATCTCCCTGCCCAATGTGGTTCTTATGCTCTGACCCGACCTTGCATAATTTTTGGCTCGTTCATGTGGTCTAAGATTCTTTTACGGTGCTCACGTACACTTTTATCTGGTCTTTAGATGCATACATGCAGTTGCCATTAAGCATCTGTAACTGTTAATAGCAGAGCAAATATGTTGACCGTAATTCTTTATAGCTTTACAAATTCTCATCTTATTTTGGAGAAATTCGCATTTCCGTCAAATTGCATGGAGGATCCGTTTGGTCTATTTGTGTAGGTTTTATGCTCAGCCGTTTTTTTTGGACTGATTGTTAAATAATGAAAATAACAAACTCATAAAAGCGCATTGCTGGGGTTAAGTGTCCCTAACATCCCCAGCGCACGAAAATTAAATGGCTTCAGTCCCATCTTTGTAGTTTTATTGAATATTGTTTTTAATATACCAGCCGGGCAATTTGGATTTTCGTCTTGGTATGCAAATTGTTATTATTTGCAGATTTCTACAGATTTTCTGTTTTTAGTTTCGGAACAGCAGAAATTCTTTCTTTACCACAACAACCCCCAGCAAACTAAATAGCCACAGATGAGGAATGTTCCAAGTATAAAAGGATAGAAAAAACACCCCATCGTGTTTACAGCTCTCGTTCCAAAGGTGTTTTCAATCTTGGAGGAAGTTCGCCAGCTATTCTCCTTGCGTGCTGTTTTTAACCCTGCCTCACATGAAGGTTCAGCTCGCTTCATGCATATTCACTCGTTGCTTACTGCTTAGATCACACTGGAAAGACAGTAAAGAACAGTTTGAGGGGACATTAAACAGCTTGTCTAAAGATGGTCCACAACTAGAGCAATGCTATCAACAAATAAGAGTCAGGCAACCCATAAATAACAATGACTTGCTGGGTTAGTTATAGGTCTCACACAGTTAAGACACAGATGTTCTCTGATTGCCTCAAAGAGATTAAGAAATTAATTAGGACCTACAAAGAGTGTAACTGGGTTGAAAACATGATGGGTTAATCTGTAATATATGTACACTAAAAGTTAAAGGGAAAGGTCCTCGAGCCGGGATTTGAATTCGGGTCAGCTCAGCACGGTGCCCACAAGGCTATCGGCGCCGACCCAATTTTTGTAAAAATTTAGTGTCTTCATAAATTCACTTAAATTGACCTTTAGGTTAGTTGGCTAAGAGTCATAAATTTGAAAAGTGACGGTGTTTTTTTTTTTTTAGGTCTGCCATTTATTTTATTTTATTTACTGAATTAACTGCCTTAAAAAATCTCTGGCCACTTATTGTGGAGCCCTGGTATAATTTGTTTGGAGATACATCTTGCTTTGATATTTTATTACCGTATACAACAGTTGATGATCTGATCTGATTGGCTGGAGTGAGGAACATGGTTTTCAATGTCAGAGTGTCAGTGTTTTCTCACTCAGAGTGGGGTTTTTCTCGCTAGTGGACAGGAAATGGAAACCCAGAGTGATTACAGAATGCTTTAACCAGGGAAAACATTGTCATGTTTAACATGAAACAATTTTGCAAGTACACACTGTGCTTTGCTCGTACTGTTGCAGGAATGTGATAACCTGCACCTGAATCACAACTGGGACGATATTCAGTACACAAGCACTCTT